TCTTTCCTCACCTGTGAAGTGGACACACACAGTAACCAACTTTCCTCCTCACTTGTCTAGTGTCAGGACTAAGTGTGGTCAACCCATGGAATGAACCAGCACCTCATAAAGTCTGTACATGGTCATCAAAGTCAGATTACATTCTATGGACAGTGACTTTGCAAACTCTCACAGATGATGGCCCACTGTTAGACTGAGTGAGGTCTTTTCTTTGGAAAGATTCCAACCGAGGCAAATAGAAAACACTATCATAATTATAGGGTCTTCAGAGATAAATGGACCTTCTGACATATGTGATGTGCTTTCTTTTGGAGTTCTCAATTCTTTGTTATATTACCACCCACATAGTTATTATCTCAAAATGAAAGTATCCTGTACATGAATCTGTGTTGCTGAAAATAGTTTTATTGTAACAGCAAAATTAAAACTTTTGTCAAGTTGACCCTCACTATATTTCACTGTGAGACCTTTCTCACAGCTCATGAGAGTGAAAGCCTTACAATTTTGCTCTTGAGTCAGCCCTTGAGGTGGTTCAGGAGGTAAAGGCACTTGCTGCCATATGTCACAACCTGAGTTTGATCCCTGAGAGCCACAGGGGGAAGTACAGAACTGAATTTTGAAAGCTGTTCTCTAAACCAAGCAGGAACCTAAAGATCAAAAATTAAGTTCCTGATTGGTTTGAGGAATGAGAGTGGCTAAATTAGCCATTATGGTTGCTATTTATTAGGGAAATCTTTGGTCCTAATTTGTTTATCAACTTTGAATAAAAGACTAACAAAAGAATCAAAATGATTCCCATAATAAACTGGTGTCCTTGCATGTATAGGACCGATTGAAAAGTGTTCACGGGTTGTGTATGAAAGAACAACAGGCAGGCACAGCAGGCAGACAGTTCCTGGCCATGTCCCCTGTGAGTGAAGGATGGACTTTGAGGCATCTCTTTGCCCAGACATGGAGTAAGCCAAATGCATTGCATCCAGACTGGTTCCAGAATCACAGCTGGGATAACCGCCCAGAAATGGGGCCCACTATGGCCACAGCTCTAAAATTAGAACATACTGCTCAAAATTGACAGTTGTAGTCCCATAAATCCATTTTTTTTCATCCCATACAAAACACTCCTAAGAGAATTCTGTTCTACGACTGCCCACTGTTGTGGATTTTAAATGGCAAGATGGATCTATGCCAATCAGTTTAAGGTGACACCTCTGTGCTCCTATGACCTTTCCCACAGTGTGTGACTCATCTCCCTTGGGAAATGCTGTCTCAAGACAGTGTTTTTTTATTTGCCTGAAAATTCTACTTCAACAAAGATCTATTTTATTGAAGACTTTTGATTTTTTTAAGGGTCTACAAATCTAACTCCATGTCCCTAATTAAGGCCATCTAAGATAAGGTTTGTCATTGACTTTATTTATTTTAATTTAGCAAGTGGAACTTCGGAAGGCTCCAGGGTCACCCTTCTAAAGAGCTATTCCCAAGTGCAAGAGACTGAAAGAGTGGGAATTCCTGTAAGTTGGTAAGAGTCTCATGGTTAACCACAACCCTTCATTCCCTCTTTTTCTCTTTATCAGATTTGATTTCTCTAAATACCACATCAAGGTGTAACAGGACAGGACAGAGCAGATGTTCCTCTATCTTGGAACTAATAGGAATTCTTGCAGAGACTGTTTCAGGTTTAACTAGAATTTAATCTCCTTAATAGAGAATCCAGTGGAAAAATTACCTAACTCGATTCTAGAACCTGAGGCCAAGACACCCCAGCTAATTTATCTCAACTTCTGTTAAACCACTTGCTTGTACAGTACTTCCCCCTTCAGCCCCAGAGCAAGATACAAGGATGAGGTTTTGGCTTTTAAAAGCCCTTTGGTCTAAATGCTTAGGGCTACACTTGTAGTCCCAGTTGGCTGGAATAAAGATTTTCAATTGACTACAAACTGTGTCTGAGTGGCCATCTCTGGTGTGCTCCTTATAACAAGAAATGCAGAATGCATGTGTGTCCATGGACATGGTCCTGTGTCACTGGAGGCTCTCCTTTATAATCTGTTATCAGGGAGGTTTATCTGCAACTGAAAGTACCTCATCAGTGGAGAATATTCATATAGAGAGACACTGCTGCATTTGACACCTAAGGGAAAATGTCTTCAATCATATTAACTATCTAAATCTTTTATTCTTTTAAGTTTAAGGTTCATTTCATTTTCATTTTTTTTCCATGTGTGCCTGTCTGTATAAGCGTATGCCACACACACACAGGTGCCCATGAAGAGCAGAAAAGGGTGTTAGAGCCCAGGGTGCTTGAGTTACAGGGGGTTGGGAGTGACCTGACATGAATACCAGGAAGAGCTGCAAGCATTCTTCATTGATGAGCCTTCCCTCCAGCCCCTAACTGCCCAAATCTAAAGGACAGGGGAGCTCAGCTGAGCCAAGCACATTAGTCACTGCATATTCCATCCAAATCGAGTTTCAATTTAGATCAGTGAATGTTTTGTGCCATACAGGTAAATGTGGAGAGACAGAAAGGATGGGAAGAAAGACAAAAATATCCCAACATATGGGTAGCCACGGAACTGACAGATGGGGACCATTTTAGTCCAAGAAAGACAGACTAAGAAAGAGAAAGTTGTTTGAACCAAATCCACAGATGTGGTGAGATATTATGCTATTACTGCTGCGTCTTAATACCATGAAACAATCCTGTTATCCTCTTTCCTGCAAACGTGAGGGAAGAAAAAACTGACAGGCCTGGCATGGAAACAATGCTGCTTTGCCTACCACCCTGAATGCCGCTCTCCAGGAGGCTTATCTCAGAGTCATTCAAATTCTACCATTCTCTTCTGCTAAAAGACAACTCTGGGAATTCCCTTAGCACTCCTTCCTAATAAAATTGTGGAGTTAGGGGAGAGGTGGGGGGGGGGACCTCTATGTCTCTAAGTAGAGAGAACTAAAGAGCCAACACTTGGGTGTAAAAACTAAATCCCTATTAGAACCAATGAATCAGGGAGGTGGAGCACATGTTGATAGTCTGTTCCAGAGTCTAAGCACAGGCAATCCCTATAGAACCGTCCCTCCTTCTAAAATCTGGTTGCTATCCATTATGGGACCTCTGGCACAGGACATGAATGAATACTTTCCTTGGATTCACACAAGAAGGGAAGATCAAGAGATGGAGACTCCAGAGCCAGGTAGGATATCAGGAGCCTATAATCTTAACTCTCAGAAGCTGAGAGAAGAGATTGCTGTGAATTCAAACTAGCCTGGGCTACCAATGAAAGTGTCTCAAAGCAAAATAGAAGAAGAGGTGGGAGCACCAAAACAGTCATGCTACAACCTTAGAGACAGAGTCCAGGTAGCTATTACAATTCAAAAGTTTTTCATTAGCTTCCTAATTCCTATTAGCCACAGCCTCTCATACCAGAAAGGATATGGAGAGTTGGTCTGAGAGGGGAAGTTAGGCAGACGTGCCTATCTCTCTTTTGGGTATTACTAACACACAAAGGGACAATCTTTTCCTGGGGGGGGGGGGTTTCAGACAAGGTTTCCCTGTAAAACAGTCCTGGATGTCCTGGAACTCACTCTGCAGACGAGGCTGGCCTCAAATTCCCAGACATCTGACTGCCTCTGCCAGATTTTTAGGAAAAGTGCATTTTGAGTCATGTCTGTGCACCCTGTGTTCTGGGGTGACTTGTATGGTCTTTTGAAACAAGTGGATGTCAGGAAATGTGGGAATCCAAGAGGGCCATAGCCTGTTGGAACCTGGGCTTCAATGTTCTCAGAGCATCTCAGGAGTTAGCTGAGTGGCCTTAAATCAGTGTTTCTGAACATGTGGGTCATGAGCCCTTTGGGACAGCATATCAGATAGATATTTAAAACATGACTCATAACAGTAGCAAAATTACAGTTATGAAGTAAGAATAAAATAATTTTATGATCAAGGGTCACTGAACATGAGGTACTGCATTAAAAGGTTGCAGCATTAGGAAGGTTGAGAATATATTAAATTTGTTCTTTCATTAAAAACAAAACAAAAACACACAAACCAACAATAAATCCCTCAGAAAACACCTATTAATAATGAAATCTTATCTGTTCAGTATACCACTTAATCATTATAAATCATTTCCATAATTAAAAACAAACAAAAAAATCAAAGTCAACATTAGTGAATGTTCATAAAACATTTGTCATGAGAAAAACCTCATACATCTATCAAATAAGATTCCCTCCCCCCCCAAAAAAAAACAGAAAGAAAGAAAAAATGAAAAAAAAAAGAAATGGAATCATCAGACTAATGATACTGATGGCCATTTACTCCATGCCACAAACTCTTATTTTGGTTCTGGGCTTCCCAAAAAAATAATTTGGTAAACATGATAACTACATCTCCAGTGAAATACATTGGGTCTTAAAGCATAATGAACCCATTGTATTTAGGGTTTTATTTCTTATTAAACATTAGCAATATAATACATCATTCTATACCTTGGACTTTTGGTAAGAACTCTCACAGATCAGCGAAAGGTTCCTGGCCTGTACAGATTCAGAAACTAAAAACCAAATGTGTGTTGGGCAGTGGTGGCACACGCCTTTAGTCGCAACACTTGGGAGGCAGAGGCAGGCAAATCTCTTTGAGTGTAAGGCTGGGCTAGAGAGTGAGATCCATGATAGCCAGGACTGTTTCACAAAGAAAGTCTGTCTTGAAAAAAAAAAAAAAAAAAAAAAACAATGTGCACAGTGGAGAATTCAAGTTCCTACCTGAGAAGATCATGTCTGCTCAGTGAGAGGCTACCTTTTGGGTTATTAACATTATGAGTCTTACAGTTAGTTCATCCCTTGGCTCAGCAGTTTCCTAATTGGCTAATAGATTTCTGTCTATGTATATGTAGATGAGATGACAAATATCCACCTGAATTAGTAAGCTCTAAAATGCACCTCTGGAAAGGAACACTCTGAAAAACCATCACAATGTTCTTGTGGTAAAAATAGGAAGCAAACCATACCTGTCTCCTCAGATCTCTTGTTTTCTTGGTCATCTTGTCAATTGCAATGTTGAGAGGATCTCCTTTTTCTTTCCTTCCAGTCTATTAAGAAAAAAAAATCATCTCTTGTTTATAAAATTCAATATCAAGGACATTAATCGAAAAGGAAAACAAAACATTTAAGTGCATGATGAACATGGATAGGTGACTAAAGTTATTTTTCTGAAACACAAATTAAAATAAAAAACAAGTCAATAGAGTCTCAAGACAGTTACATCCATGTTCAACTCCTTTCAAATACATTTTCTTCCTCTCCTCCCATTTATAGATAAAGTACATAATATAAGATATGTCTTGCTTTTGATTTCAAAGACAAATATATTGGGATTCTTGATGATGTAAACATGCTTATAAAATAGAAGACAAATTAAATGTTTTTTAAGAAGAATTCACAGGACCTGGGGAGAAGACACAGTGAATGAAGTATTTGACATGGTATAGCCTAAGGACCAGAGTTCGTATTCTGAGAGCCACATAAATGTTAGCTCAATACAGTAAGCCATTTGTAATTCTAGCACTCTGAAAGCTGAGAAAGGAAATTCCCTGGAACACACTGACTAGTGGATCATTGAGTTCTGAGTTCAAGTGACAGACCCTGCCTCAACGATTAAATTGGAGAACAATAGAGAAATACTTCTAATATGCCCATGTGCAAACATACCTGAACAAACACACCTGCACAAACAAAGAACATGCATATATGCATACATAGCACACATACACAAAAGAAAACTTTAAAAACAGATTCTCCTTTGTTAAAATTAAAAAGCTTATGCCAATATTTCAAAGACCACATTACAGACGTTGTACCAAGATTGAAAGAAATGTCTTACTAGAAAATTAAGAACCTCTAATCTCTGTTCTACAGAGCAGGAGAGGTGCCAAACATAGCCACAAGCAACTCACAGCTTGTGATCATGAGCAAATCTTTCCTTATGACTCCAACATATAGTTATAGAAGAAAAATAGAGAATAAACAACACCTCGATACACTATTCACTTAAAGTTTACTAGTTCTGTGTTCATTTTTCCATTTCCATGATGGCTACAGAAAGACAAGGAAAACTAAACAAAGAGAATCTGCATTATTTCTAATTTTAAAAGTTTGGATTTATTTTACATTTATTTCATTCACTTGTGTGTGGAGTTGAGGGTAGCTAGGGTTTCATTAGAAGACAAGAAGTTAGTTCTCTTCTTCTACTATGTGGGTTTCAAGAAATGCACTCAGGTCATCAGGCTTGACAGCAGGCACCTCTACCTGCTGTGCCATCTTACCAGTCCTCCACTGTTTTATTTTCTTTTGTTTTTACAGTGACAAGATTGCTATGGGTTCAAAGTTCCTATGGAAACACCGCAGGCGTGTCACCTTCTACACAAGAGACAATCATTTTCAAAGAAATGTGGGAAAGCTATTAAATCATCAAAACCTCAGTCTAACACCCTATCAAGTTATTTTTTTTATTTGTATTCCTGGGGACAAACCATCTCTTGCTCCATACCCCATCTGTACAGAATCTCACAAATCTCCGTAGTCGAGTATAAAATGAGTAAGATCCCAGGTGAGAACATTCTGCTTAACAGATGAGCTGATAGGAGGAAAGAAATGACCATGTACCAGGCACATAGAGTCTCTTTTCATGAAAAATACAAAAAAAAAAAAAACAAACAAACAAAAACAACACCTAGATATATGTAGCCCATACAGACACATAGGCTTGAGAATTGCTACCTGAGCTGAAAGCAGCTACTTTTTTCTGCAATTTACTTCATTAAGCCAGTTTTTTTTTTTTTCAAAACAAATATGTGATGCTTAGCCTTACTGGGTTTTCATTGAAAAGTCAGGGCATATGTGTGCATATTTTTAGTTGTGTAAAACTCTACAAACCCTTCCTTCCCCACTCTCTAAGTTCACACACTGACTCTTTCAGATGTACACACTGAGGGGGTTAGTGGGAAGAGCTTAAAATAAAGAGGCTCAGATTTTACAACTTTGAAATATCAGCCCACAGATAGCTCCAAGAAAACAAAAGTATATGAAGAAGAAGAATGGGGTGGTTTGATCTTTCTGAAAAACAGAGGAAGGAGGTGGTATTAAGCAGGAGGGCCCCCAGCACCCAGCCTTCAAATGCATAGAGATGGACATTAGTTCAACAACAAATGGCTACTCTTCCTCTTTGATTGTTTTGCAAATAGCACGTTTGCTATAAAACATACAGGATCCTTTGGAGGAGGTCTGAACTACAACTATCTTTCTGAGAGCCATATACTTCCCATTTCATCTTCATTTATTAGAATCGTAAAATCTCACTCAGAAAGTAAAAGTTGCTATGTGTGGTGGTACACATAACTAATCCCAGCACCTGGAGGACAGAGACAGGTAGATTTCTTTGAATCCTAAGCCAACCTGATCTACACATTGAGATCCTGTCTCAAACATAAACAACCAAATAAATAAATAATAAAAGTTTTGAGTTAGGTTTACATAGTGGCTAGAACAATAGAATAGCTGTTCAAAGATGGGTGGGGGCAAGCAGGGAAGATGGCTTTTCTGTCAAGTATGAGAAGCTGAGTTAAAATTCCTAGAACCAAGGTAAAGCTAGATGTTATAGCACACACATCTGTAATCCCAGAGCTCCTATGGAGAGATTTGAGGTGGAGACAGGGAAATATATAGAAGGTAACAGGCTAGCAAATCTGACATATGCGGTTCAGTTAAAAAGAAAAATAGATAATGTATCAAATGAAGTAGACAGCAAGGTCCAAAACCATAGATTGTCCTCTGACTTTCATATACACTCACTGTAGTAATATTCACGAACACACACACAAACACACACACACACACACACACACACACACAAACACACACACACACACACAACTACACACAAACACACACTCTACCACCACTCCTACCACCAAAACAACTCAAAAAACATTTAAATACAATAACTTTAAAAAATAAAATGAATTGCTGTATCTTGGCTACAGGAAATAATTAATGAATATGAGTAAGTGTCAGATGTGAGGATCTCCTTATTCTGCTAATGACACATCTTTATCATCTTTTCACCAATGAGAAAAATGACAATGGAGACAAGTAATGAAATTGGGGTGAAAAATTAAAGTACTGGCCTATGGTTCCAAGACTAAGGGGGCACGAAAGAACTCACTAATCAAGATAAATGGTTTTATGCACTCTTTAAAACAGCAAAATGAAAGCAGAAAAAGAATCCATGCAGAGCAAAATAGATATAAAATTTAAATTAAGATAAATCTTAGAAGGCATGGTTTAGGACAGGGCCATCCAAGCAAGCCCTGCATCAGATAATATTAAATTTGACAAGGCATGATTTAGGATAGGGCCACTGAAGCAAGCACTGCATCAGATTTTTTTTTTTTTTACTTTAAAAATTAGGAAAATAGCAACCTGCCTGCAAGATATACCCACGGGCGTATTAGTGGCACAAATGTTACAGAAGTAATCAACCACTTTTTATTGGATTTATAGCCTCTCCATGAGATTGACTCCCTATATGACCATGTCAATGAGGCCAAGACACTGAGGCTAGATAGGTCATGGACCCTTAGGGGAAAAACCTACTACCGTATGACTGTACTAAATGGACATAGCAATAAAATGACTTCCAGTGGGAAAAAAAAAAGAACCTAAAACCTCTGGGGAAATATTGAGAATGTTGCTCAGGGGGTAAAGTGCTTGCCTAGCAGGCATGGGGCCCCAGGATCCTTTTGCAACCATGCATAAACTAGTAGGGGCAGCAGCACTTATCTATAATTCCATACTTAGAAGGTAAGGTAGGAAGATCAAAAGTTCAACATTGTCCTCAGTTGCAAGTTCAAGGCTACCCAGGGCACAATATCCTCTCAATTAAAAAAAAAAGTATGCTTTCATAATGAAAAGAAAAACTAAAAAGAAAAATAATCATTATTGAAAATTCTCATTTGACTGGTATTCTGTGATTCTACATTCTGAATGTGGTACCTCTACACCCAGAGGTAACATCAGTACTTAAGTGACTGGTATTTCTACAGACACACGTGGGAGGGTTGGCTGTTCCTTTTTGTAAGCAGAAGGCAACATGTGTTTCCCATGTGGCATCAATAACCTGAATGTCAAGCACACATTTGTCAGGCAGGATCGCTGTGGGAGGCACATTAAAAGGAAAAGCTGAGGTTCACTCTTCTCAGAAAGGCTCTCATACAAATGTGTTGACTGGAACATGAGGCTAGCAACATGGGTGACAACAAGCTCCTTGAGATGGCCAATAGAGGCACTATGAAGTATTCAAACATAAGGTAGGGTTAGAGTATATTAGCTAGCCACCAGCTCTGGGTTAGGTAAAAATAGGAAGAGGAGTAGCATTTTGAGTGGCAGGAAGAGACAAATGACAAGATGGGCTCTGAGAGGATAGTGAATAGAAAGAACCAGGCATTACTGCATGAAAATAAGGGATCATTCTGACTAGTGACAGGGATTATTTCCAGGAGAGCTTCCTTCCAGTGCGAATACTGCTGACTAGATTTTATCCTGCAAACCTGGAAATGTCTGGTGACATCAGTATTCCACACCACTCTTGTCAAGATTCTGCTCATTTAAGATTTCCAACTCTGAGTTTCTTTAGCCCTCAAGTCCTTCACATGAAGGTTGAATGGGCTGCAGAAAATAAAATTCCAAGAGAAAATCTCTGACTTGTTTTTAATTATTCATGTGTAAAAGTTGTTGGAGGATGCAGGTGCCTATTGAGGTCAGTAGACAGCTTCAGATCCCATGGGACATAAGTTAGAGGTGTTGGTGAGCCACCCATTCTTGCTGGTGTTGAGAACCAAATCCATGTCCTCTGCAGTTGTAAGTGCTCTTGATTGCTGACAAATATCCCCAGACCCAAAAGCTATGAGTTTTTAAAGAAAGTACTAGAGTTTCAGAGATCTGAGCCACTGACCAGGCTAGTAAATTTACTGGCCATTTGTAAACTTGGATTTCTTGAAATGAAGTTTGCATGTAAGAATCAGTAATT